CTGCACCCCTAGCGGAGTCTATGGGGCACTCCAGTTGGGTGAGAGTCATCTGCCAGGTGGACTGCCTGCCGGGGGACGTGGCCAGTCGGAACAGCAGCTTCAGCTCCTGACCCCGCCGAAGGGGTACGTACAAGTGCTGACCACTGTTGCGACCGCACAGCCGGAAATGCTGTATCTGCAGAAAATCGACGCACTCCAGCACTCCGGAATTGGCATTCAGCTGCGGCTGCGGCAGCTCCAAACGCTCGAAATCAACGCGCACCTGACACACCTGGCTGCTCCACGGCGCCACGCGGTACTGGCATGTGTCCAACTCGGCCAGCCCACCTGTTCCCGGGCTGCTGAGAACGATGCGTTTCTGGCGGACAGGGCCGCTCCTCGCATTGCAGGCCACTTGGCAGTGGACAGGTGTAAAAACTGGTGCTAGCACGAGTGCAATCATCAGCAGGTGAAAATCCATTTCGGTCCAATTCGATGGGTGGTACGCGCTTCGATTGGGAAATTTTCGCTGAACAGCGCTTTTATATCAGTTTCTGAGAGCAATTGTATCTATCGTTAGATAACTGCCATTGACACTCGACGATAAGGCCACAAAGATGTTTGCCGGCGATAAAGTATTTGGACAGCGATGCGTCCCTGGAAATTCCATCTCGTGGTTATGAAATTTTTGGTAAGCGAAAGCAGCGCTGGCCGCGCTGACTCTGATATTACTGAACTGCAGCCAAATTTTAAATGTTCAATATTTTACTGTCGTACTTAGGTCATAGTTAACAACTGATTTAATTATTTGAGCTTTTAAAAATGATCATTTTATTTCAACTTATAAAGGCTGCGCGTTTCTCGTAGAGTATGTTAAGATATGTTGAAAACTATTGCTTAGAATCGCTAGAACAGTCAATTTAGCCATGTTCGACTGTCTAATGCTTGCAGTTTTTTTATTTTCTAATGTGTCGTAATTGAGTTGAGCTTAACTTTTATGTGCGTTTTTAATTTAGCAGTGTAGAAACATTTTCAAATGATACATATAAAATCTTGTATGCACCTCTCTCCAAGGACTTTTCCCCTCAACCCAATTTATTTTCCTCCACCATCGAGGTAATAATTATCGAATAAATATTGCGTCGGAAGACATGCCAGGTATGCATGCAATCTTCCAGTTTGTACCCTCACCTTCAAGCTGATATCATTTGTTCTCCTCGGCTTTAAGCCTTCTTTTCAAATAGGAATTCATTGCCCAAACGTTTTATCAATAAATGCCACAAGGAAGTTTTACGCACATTTTATGATAAAGGTCGAGCGGCGTTTATGGCCCCCTACAACACTTATGAGGTCTCACACCCACACTCCCGCAAGGAAAGGACCTCAGCGCACGTAAAACAATAAAATTCGAGGCATTTATATGAGCATACCTTTGATTGTGTTAAAAAGGTGGAGAGCATGTGTGGCGCTGCCCCCAGCTACCAATTTACATAATACATAATTGCGGCATAGGATACCATTTTTTCCGCCCGCCTTGTAATTAAAACTCAAAGGCTCCTGCAACATCTATTAAATTTTATGCTTAACGCATATCATGTGACAAGAAATACTGCCGAGGTGGCGTTAAAATTAAACAAATGGCCAAGTAATACTAAAATTGCATGCACAGCGCGATTAACATATCAACAGCGACAAAAAATATCATAAAACAGCGGGAAAATGGTTCGCAACGAGTTTTCAGCTCTGCATTTCTAGGCCTGCCAGTACGGCAAGAACATCAACAATGCACACCATGGCACACATTCGCGATCAAGTTTTAAAAATGTATGGCCCTAGAGCAGGCCCAGTTTAAAACAAAGCCAGGCGGGCAGCAACCTTCAAAAGAAATAAATATAAAAATACAAAAAAGCTCGTGCTGCCGTCGCATAAAAATGAAAACTATGTAATAATAAGCAAAAACAAGGTGGAAAAACTGAGCAAGCTAACGTAGTTTGCAGGAAGGAAAATGGAAAATATAAAAGACGAAAAGTTGTCGGGTTATTCTGGGAACTGGGTATGCCCTTTACCTAATATTTGTCACACATTTTTTATCACATTAACTATTTTTTAATTTAGATACGAGTTAAATTAACATTATTTCGATAAGCCACAGTATTTATCTTTTAGTTTTAATTGATTTAAAAGGGTGCTGTGCATTTCTTCAATTTTCGTAAACATACTTTAAAAATTTCCTTGTCGGATATGGTAGGCAACCAAATTCTTTGAGCGAAATGGTATATTCTTCCAACAAATCATTTAAATAAAATCAATAGTTTGTTCGAAAAATTTCCGAAAAAGTTCTAGAACATTTCACCCACTCACCCCGAAACACTTAAACAAGTTTTTCAACCAAACCCGAGGACACCAGAAAAACTTCGCTCCAATCCTGCATACCCACTCAGCCATATATTCCCGGCAGACTTCATCAGCAATTTGTAATACCTACTTTCCAAGGGCATTTCACAAGCCAAAAAAAAGCGAAAAACGAAGGAAAAACACAAACTTTTGTTGTAACCGCAGCCACAGCAGCGCTCACGTATTTATGTCAATGTTTTGTTTTAGTTGTTGGCGGCAGTCCTAGCCACCTTCGACCCACAACCACGCCCCTATCCGCCCCGGTTGCATGTCGTGCCCATTTGCGTTACCTTTGAGCCCCCGGCACAAAAACAAGATGTGACGCCTGTTCAGTTTCGGTTCGGGCTGAGGCTCTTGGCTCAGCTCCTGGTTTCCGTGCTCTGTTCTCGACTGAAGCCAGCTTTATGTGATCAACAACTTGTTTTGTTCGGGCTCAAGATGTAGGGGGAAATTGCAGAAGTGGACTGGAGTCGAAAACGACATTAAGCTACAAGTGCGGACGTCAAAGGCATGGAAACACACATATGGGAGTCACCAACAGGGGTCATCAAAACCAAGTCTAGTATAGTGTACATTCGAAAAGTGGGTATATAAAGTATGAAAGATAAACTGAGGCTCTCGGATCCATATTTTACACAATTTTTCCCGCGCTTATAACCTTCCCAGCGAATTTTTAATATTTTCTAGTAGTTTCTAGTATTTCAAAGCCATTTTTTATTTTTTCCCGTGCATTCGAATGTTTGAGTTTTCCGACAGAGTGGCAGAAATAAGTTCCTTCCTAGTTTTATTGCTGTTGACTTTTTAGTTTAACAGCGGTGCCATACAAATATTATGACAATGTCCTTGCAACTGCAAAGTGCATTTGCAGTTTTTGTGCCCCCGCCTGATCGAATCCATCACTAAAATATGCCGCATAAAAAGCCAATTAAGTGACATTCGATTGGCTTGCATAATGCACAGAAGGCACGGCAACTCGTCATCGCTGGCAGAAGGACGAAGGACCACGCGCCAATCATAAATATAAACAACGCCACGGCGACGACTTTGCCATCTAAAATGGAAATCTACCGGTAACAAGAACATGCATATTTCCCGGACCGTGTTGATTTTTCTTGCCAGCCCTCTTCTTCGTGTTTGCTTATCAAGTGCAAATGCATGCAACTTGCAACGGCAACGGCAACAACAATTGCCACACAACAACACACCAACAGCAACAGCAACAACAGTATCAACGTACCGCGCAGATAGGCAGCGAAACAGCGACGTGTTGCTCCCTGCTGCCGTCAAGAAAAACGAGTTGTTTCCGGCACTCAAACACTTCTGATTGCAGTGCCAAAAAGAGGAGAAAACCGAAAAAATATGCAAGAATATGCATCACTTTGCTTGGTGGCGCTATAAATTTAAATGCAATCGCATTAAGAGCGCAACAAACGAAAGGATACGTTCTGGGAAGGAATTTCGGGTCTTGGTAATTCAAGTTGCACACTTTATGGGGCGCGATGGCCTGCAAACTTGAACTTGCCCCGAACAAACATTTGTGCTTTAATGGAAATCAATGTATTTAACATAGAGGTGGAAAATAGTAGTATGGCTACTAGCAGTTGCCTTTATTTTATTTTGATCATTTGAAACCATTTCGATTTCTCGCAATGGAAAATGCGAACTGGAGAACACGCTTATATATATGTATATCAGTTTTGCCGGATGATGTTGACAAGAGCCGGAAAACAAACTACAAACTGCATGCAAATAATGCAGTCGAAAACAAAGCTCGTTGTTGGTTCGAATTGCTTTCTTTTCCTTTATATTTAATTTAATGCAAGGCAGCCATCAACATCATCATTGTATTAAACTTTCTGCCAGTTGGCCATTGTTATTACTTTTCAAAGTTTTCTCCCGCTCTCTGTGCATCTCGAAGTCTCTGCTTTTGTGCATTTCCCAGCTGGCTGGAGGAAACTTTAAGCAAATAATAACTCAGACTACCTAGTGGTAATGGTTAAGGGATGCCAGAGAGCGGCTCACAAATTAATGCGCAATCAACTAGCGGACTGTGCCACCAAAAACCACTTTTGCCAGCCACCCATTCGTCAAAGCCTTTTTCTGGGCCAACTTGCTCGGCCTGGCTTATTTATGTGCGTCGTCTGCAGAAGCAATGAATCGACTTTGTGACTTCGGAGTCGGGGGCTTGGGCGCCAACCCAGCTCCTACCCCTCATTCAAAGCCCTACACCCGCATAATGTGCATGACAATCTTAGCCCCCCTTTCATTCTCCCTAGTCCCTGGTGGAGACAATGACATTGTTGCCGGCTTTGCTTGCCACATGATGCACTTGATGCCAGGCGGCGCACAATGTGTCCTTTGATTTCCGCAGACTAAAAGCCAACCGCAAGCCACAAGATTGAGGATGATTTGAAAGCAATACACACTGCTTAAGGGGGGAAATGTTTTAAATTCCGCGCGGATGCCTCGTGAGGAGCGGCAATATGATGAGCACAGAATTAGGGTCCTCTAATGTGTTGCCATTTAATCGAGCATGCATTTCCAACCCTGAATAGCTCTATTTTGTTGCTGCTGATGGCATTTCACTAGACGATTAATATAAAATGGAAGTAGAAGTCTCACCACTATCTGTCATTACAGACACTCTGTTTCAACAAAAATTGTGCTCTGTATTTAGATATGTTTAACACGTTAAACAGCTTCACCCGGAAGATAATATATACATAAATACTTAATCATTAATAACATGGAGTGCCAGGACCTTAGGCTCGATACGGATATTGAACAAATTGATAAGGAACTTGCAAAGAAAGAACACCACACATCCAAGTTAGTCCCATCTTGGAGCCCCAGAAATCCCTTGGAGAACATCATTGATTGCCGCGAGAAGTCAATTGTGGAAAACATAAATGCAGACCAGGATGCCATTGCCAAAATCCAATATCTTAGTGAAGAACATGCAAAGCTGGATAAGTATTTACATAATCAGGAGCAGGATGCATCACTTCGCAAATATCTGGTCGTTGGAGTTCATTGGGTTTTTCTGCTTACGGAACATGTCTTGAGTCATCCGTTTCTAGTATTGCGTTGGCAGTGTCAGGTTTATAATGCCTCCAAGTGTTACCACTTGCATCCTTTTACCCTGCTGCCCTGTATTGTCCATTTGCACAGACGCCAAGGACTAACGACACTATGGAAGGGAGTGGACAGCTGCCTGCTTGTGCGTGGAATGTCCTGCGCCATTGACGATGTAATATCGAAACTCAGCAGTTGGCCCAAGGAATTGGATAGTCGGACGACCTTAAAGCGATTTGGCCAGCATGTCCTTCTGAAATGTGTAAGCATCGCGTTGGTTTCACCCTTCCACGCCGTTTCCTTGGTGAAGACAGTGCAAAGCGACATTGCCAGCGAAAAAACAGGACTTCTTGATGTCCTTTGGGACGGAGGGGCTCGTCTGTTGTCATGGAGGTCCCCACAAAATACTCGAATGCTACCAACTTGGGCACTAATCGGTCCTAGTATTTCGATTGGCATTACAAAGTATCTTTTCAACTTGCTAATACATGGCGTTTCCACTCGAATGATGCAGAGGAGAATGCAAGAGAATCGGTATAAAAAGGACTGTGATGTTAAGCTGGAACACCAAAATGCAGAGACTTATGCGGGACTTATAGCCACGCTCACCACTGAGCTGGTATTCTTCCCACTCGAAACCATACTGCATCGTCTAGAACTGCAGGGTACCCGAACAATAATAGATAACCTTGATACTGGATACTCAGTTGTCCCGGTGCTGACAGATTATCGTGGAGTATTCGATTGCTACAGGGTAACAGTTATTTCAGAGGGAGTTGCTGGACTGTACAAAGGCTTCGGAGCAATGATCCTGCAATTTGTCGCCCAAGTTGCTATAATTAAACTGGCCAAGTGGACAGCGGATCAAATAGCTGCTGGTATATTGAATCGTCCAACATCCCGCATAGTACAGCCCTATAATTTGGATTGCCTTTCCTGCAATAAGAGCTCTACGACAATATCCCCCAGTATTTCCAGCATCGATGTAGATCTGACGAGCTTAGGAAAGTATTCACTGGATGATTAAGTCACTGTTTGTAATTTTAAAAACTATTTGTAAACACTTATATTGTTTAAGAGCGAACTATGCAATAAGCCTTGTGAAACTCATCTGAAATGATTGCTAATTACATTCACAATTTCTAAAGTGATTGGTATTTACCATTTAAACAAAGTCGCCAACTAAACAAGATTAAGTAGTCATTGGCTATTAATTCTAGCATCGGGCCATTAAACGTTGTGGACAAATTATTGCGAGTATTTCCCGGCCAATCTAAGCTCACGCCAGCTGGTCTACACGTCGTATGCCATTGTCAATATTGGCAAAATACTTTGCAGGTGCTTTGAGGCCTCACCTATGCTAATTTATGTGCAGCCACTGCACTATTGACTCCTAGAGGCTTTCAACTACTATTTATCTATGTATATGTCCTGGACACTTGTTTGTTTTTTGGCCAAACACTCAAAAGGGCAATAGAACTAACCACGATAATTTAAAATTACTATTTGCAATGATGTGCTGCAGATACTCGAAATCGCTAGGATTGCGTTTTTATGTGTTGTTTGTGTGCACGTAATGCACATAAAGTTGCTGCTTCGTGCCCCCAGAAGCCGTAAAGCCAATTCGCAGGACACCACACGGCGTATACTTAATACACACGTATGCAACGCGTGACTGCTGCCAGGATCCAAGGATGTGAGTCGAAGGATGCCGAAGAAATCAACTTAAAATGTGCAAATTGTTTATACTGCGACCCCTCTGCGGCCAAAAAACACAGAACATATACGTATGTATGTTGGCCGGAATGGGTTAAAGTATGTGCCGGACATTGAATAAGATTAATGAAGGTTTTGCCTCTGGTGTTTCGCCTTTTTTTATGAATGTTTGGTTTCGGTTCGGCCGCCTGCTGCGGTATGGTGGTTGGACCGCAGGATGATGCCGCTGCCCCTGCTGCTAAAATATTTTTGCAGTCGGCCTCGGCCTCGGCTTGTTCTGCAGCAGCTGTAAACGAAAAACATATTTCAATGATGCATGATGCAATCCAAAAACAACATCGACCGGGCGGTGCCCACTCGCCCCGGCCAACAATAAGGAACGAACCCAACAAACGGTTTGAGCCGGGCTCAGAAGAAGATGGAGACGAAGCTTCTGGCCACAAACAACTGTCAGGGACACGTTGCGAAATGTGACAATTTTATTGGTCTGTCAGAAAATTATATATCAGAAACGAAAAAGAATGAATATTGCTTTTTAAGTGCTGGGCTTTAGCTGCAAAATTTAAGAACTTTTTGCCAATTTAAATCGGGTTTTCCGTAGTTACTACTACGCTTTGTACCAAAAATAATCCATTAAATAATTATTTAGCTGCACGAAAGTATACATATAATTCACTCTTTTCGAATTAGCTTTCAAACTCCAATGTATACATTTATCATTGCACACCATTTCCTAATGGAATTGGGAATGTATACGAGTATAACAAAAGTTTGCAAACTTTTCAGCTATTTACAGACCACGTTCCTATCACCATAATCATTTAACCATTTCACAGAAATAATTAACCCGACTCAAAATAAAGAATCTACAAAAAGTGACAGAAGCCGTAAAGTAAGTGAAACTGCAGACATATTTAATTATAAATGCAGTTCAACTTCGCTTCGGAAGCGAAAGAAAAATAAAAGTAGGTACTTTAAGCACTTGCTGGTAATCAGCGAGGAACAAGCTCCATTTCCTCTACGCCATCTTCTGAAATGGCAATTTAATGAGCTCATTGACAGGTGCAGGACTGCTGAGCAAAAAAGTGAAGTGAGCCAGGACTAAATGAAGTGTAATTCTCCGCTAAAGCACATGCCATATTTATCATCAGCTTTAAGCAAAAATCTCGCTATTCCCAGCAGTGAGACCTCAACACTTTTTCCTATGTGTGCGCTCAGGCGGTATTCCATTTTTTAATTAACCGCCAGAGAACCGGGAAGCCGAGTTGTTGCACCCCGGAGACCCAAGTTGTCAGTTTACCTGGATGGAGTTCAGTTGACATGTTGGCACCGTCATGCGACATTCTGAATAAAACCTGGCAGCCAATTTGCTTGGGTTGAGAATGTGGCAAGGGTTGAATACCTGACAGCTGTTACTGGAGTAGTTTTTAAGTAGCTGCTAATGAGTCGCTAACTTGCAGGCGGACAACTTTGAAGAGGCCATTTTCTTACGCAAACGCTTGCTCCATTCTTTGTTTTTTGAATCAGATACTTGTTCTCTAAATTGTAAACACATTCTGACAACAGCTGGATTGCTTTATAAGGTTAGTTTAAATAAAACGCTTCGCATAGATAAGGACTATAATAATGGTTAAATAAAAAATTAAACACAACTGCTTGCATTTGCCGGCACTCGTGCTTAAACATATGCATGCATAACGCAGAAATCCTCCATCCATTTCTCCTCCGCGGAAGGACATACACTCGTCAGTTAAAATTCTCCGCGGACGGGGAATACCCAAGCGCAGAACAATGGCTAACAATATTACGCATACGACACGGGTGCCCGAGTTTGCTTTGGCCCTCGTCCAGGACTTCTGCCATCGAATTGAGGTCCGAAAAAATGAAAAACCTGCTTTAAATGGAAGCTTTTGTGCACAATTATGTTACAATAGCGGCGGTAAAAATAGGGAAATGGGGAATATTCGCGACGGTGATTTTCATATCTAGCAGCTCTCTTTCTCTGGCGTTAAATTAAAACACCGAAATATAGCGAGTTTATGAGGTAAGCAAAAGCATAAAAAGGGCAGCCGAAGCAGATAGAAAAACAGAGACAGAACAGCGAATTTTCTTCGTATAAATTCACACTAAACTGGGGATTTCAAATGGATTTCCTGAGGCTGAGGCAACAATGGCATACTCGGCATAATCGCTCCAACCGAAAGCGCAGCATCATCGAAGGCGGAGGACGGAGGCGACAGCGCTGACGGTTGACAGGATGGCAGGATAGTAGGATGGTAGGATGATAGGATGGTGGGATGGTAGTATGGCTGGATGCCCGGAGATGATGGGCATGACAAGCGGAACAAACGAGCCCGACGTATATGGAGACGTACCCGGCTCGCAGCTGTTGCAGACCCACTCCCATCCAGTTTACTCAGCACTCTTTGCCCAATATATATTTACTTGCACCCCTTCCGTGGCAGCTTAAACGAAGAAGTAGTGCTATAAATCGCATTAGGTGGATCCTACTTTGCATATGAAGTGCCCGAACTGACAGCTCACCCACTGTCTCAGTGACTATTATAGATGAAATTTTTGAGGACATGTTGCTATGGTGAAAGCTTAAGGATGTTCCACTAATAATTGTACATCTTTATTTATGAGTGAGTTTGAGAAAACATAAATCTCTTATACACATTTTATTTCCCAGTTTGACAAGCTAGTAAATTAAGCTTCCAAAACATAAATAATTCCTTAATATATCCACGTATTCTGACATTCAATATATACCCTACTCCCATAGGTTCCATAGAGCATTTTGAATACAGATTTAGCTATCGTAACCTTTTCCATCACCGCTGTCGACCCAGTTCGAGTTCTCAGCAGAGCAGCAGATAAAAAGAAAGCACTTTAACATAACAATGAACTCCAGCACCGACGCGATACGAACGCCGACGCAATCAAAATTCAAAAGTTTCATTTGCAGGTAAATGTTGGATTTACTCGGAGGATTTTAGTGTCCTGGCGCCTCACCGTCCTCTTCGTCCTCGTCGTCGTCTTCGTCCTTGTCAATTGTTTGGCAGCGCATGATGCATGACGCCGATAGCACTTCGCGATGATAGCGCGAATTTGTAGCCGCATTAACTTGGGCACCGTGAAGTTTCCCTACTTGGAACCACGGGTCAACACAGGTTGGCTGCGAGACCTTAATGGGAATGCTAAGTAGAGCATAGTTGTAAATTATGCGAGAAACTTTTCAAGCTCTTCAATCGCTTTTTTGAGCGATTTTTAGCTATATTATAAACGACCCAGATAAACGAATACAGATTTTGCAAAGGAAACGCTCTCATTTATAACGTAAAAGTGAAGAGCTCACTTAATGCAATGCAAATCAATGCCAAAATATCCTTGTCTAGACATTGTCAAAAATAACTTTATCGATAAAAGCCAATATCATGGCAACTCGTAGCTTAAACTTTCATAAATATGTATTTTCGCCGCGTACAGACCACTTCTCACGCCCCACAATTTATGCCGCCTTTTTTTATAAACAACTAAGGACATTATCATAAATATGTTACTGGAAAAAACAATCGAAATAGGCCAATTAAAAAGCTACTCTGTAAATGGGTAAACAAAAAGCATTGTCGAGGTCTGTCGAGACTGTTTCTGAATAATTAATATAAACACGAGTTTTTGTTTGCTTTTCAATGTTAATGTTAATTAAAATCAGCACTTAAGCAACAATAAATATGAGAAAAAACTCGCCATGGCAATGGAAATTTTGCAGCTAGCAAGGCGGTACAATGGAAAATCGGGTAGTGTAATAAGGAGTAATAAGGACAATGTGATTGCCTCAAGGAGCTGCCGTTGGGAACGCTTACGAATGCCATTACACGACAAAGGACTTGACTCGACGACTCCTTGGCCGAGTGTCCTTATCGGCAATCGCATAAATCTCGTCCTCAGAGAGTTGTTACCGGTTGAACGAAACGGACAGGAGCGGGGAAAAACAGGAAAAGCTGGAAAAGCGACTTGGTGTTGCCACCTAGTTGCAAATTGTACGCAAGGGTTTCCTCGCAGCAATTATTGTATCACGCAGTTTTGCTGCTACATTTTATTTTATAAACTCCTGCCCGGCGAATCGGACTTGTCCGACTTTTCTGCTGACTCTTCTGTATCGTGGACTGCGTGACTTTTATTGGACTTTAGCCTCTTTTCCTCCTTTAGCGAAAGTTTGCTCCTTGTTTATGGCACTTATCGTGCTTTTGTTTCCCAATGCTGCGCCTAGACTTTTCCCGCTTTTCCGACCGGAGTTTTTCCCTAATGCCATCGCATATCCCGCAGCGTTTACTTAACGCGACGGGCGCGCTCTTATCTAAACGATTGCCTGTGGAGTGATTATGAGTGTTTGAGGTTGTTAGCATAATTGACGCCCCGTGTTCGGTT